CCCCCACCCCCCCATGCTAACCCAGCTCTCCCATGTTCCAGCTCTCTGAGCCAAGGCTCTGCTGGCTGACCTCTGATCCCGGAATCAGGAAGTGCTGTTCCCATCGCTCGCAGGGGCTCACATCCACAACACAGGCTGGCATTCCAATATCACTCTGCAATGCCACTGCCAGTATGATGGGCCGCACGGTGGCTCAGTGGTTAGCACTGCTGCCTCACGGTGCCAGGGACCCGGGTTCGATACCACCCTCGGGCGACTGTCTGTGTGGCGTTTGCACATTCTCCCCCAACTCGTGTCTGCATGGGTTTCCTCCCACAGTCCAAAGATGTGCAGGTTAGGGTGGATTGGCCGTGCTAAATTGTCCCATAGAGTCCGGGGATGTGCAGGCTGGGTGGGTTAGCCATGGGAAATACAGGGTGGGTCTGGATGGGATGCTCTTTGGAGGGCCGGTATGGATTTAATGGGCCAAATGACCTGCTCCCACACTGTAGGGGTGCTACGAATGGCTGTGCATGTCCAACGCTCCAGACCGAGTTCAGATCCCACAGCGCGGGGCAGTCTAACTTGTTGACCGGACCAACACCTCCAGACAGATCACCCGTTTGTGGGATCTCACTATGCCCAATCTGGCTCCGTCATTCGTCGGAGCAAAGAAAACCGGTAAGTGGGCCACTCAGCCCTTTGCGCTTGTTCCACCATTCAATATGGTCAAGGCTGATCATCCAACTCAGTATCTCATTTCCTCCCCATACTCTTTAGGCCTAAGAACTACATCTAACTCCTTCTTGAGCCAAATTCAATGTTTTGACCTCAGCCACTTTCTGTGGTAGAGAATTCCACAGGCTCCCCACCTCTCTGGGTGAAGACATTTCACACCATCTCAGCCCTGAATCACTTACCCTGTATCCTGAAAGGCTACAAGAGCACAGTGTTGAGGAAGAAGAGGGTATCAAGGAAGAAGACGGTATTGAGGAAGGGTCAGAGCGTCGGGGGTTGGGGGGGGCAGAGTGACGAGAAAGGGGAGAGCACCGAGAAAGGGGCAGAGCATCGAGGGAGGGGGTGACAGCGCCGAGGAAGGGGCAGAGTAACGAGGAAGGGGAGAGCGTCGAGAAAGGGGCAGAGCGTCGGGGGAGGGTGAAAGCACCGAGGAAGGGGCAGAGTGACGAGGAAGGGGAGAGTGACGAGCAAGGGCCAGATTGACGAGGAAGGGGCAGAGTGTCAAGGAAGGGGTGAAAGCACCGAGGAAGGGGCAGAGCGTCGAGGAAGGGGCAGAGTGATGAGGAAGGGGAGAGCACTCTGGGGTGTGCCATGCTTTGTGGGGCCAGTAATGTGGAGCAGCTGGAGGGGTCTGCAATGACGGAGGGTTAAATCTGGGCTGGTATGGCCTGAAATTCTGGTCACAAAGGAGAAGCAGCAAGAAGGTGGTCTGCCCCAAGCCCCTCAGACACAACATGGACTTACAGGGATAAGGAACTTTGAACCACGGAGCGACAGAGAGGACACCTTTCCGAGCATCAGTCCTAGCGTAGTATCCGTACTGACCGCTGTCTGGTGGGAAAACATCCGTCACCGTGAAGACAAAGCACAGGAACCACGACACCAAAATGGCCAAGATAATCTGCAGCCAGAAAGGAGGAGCTGGGCGTCACTGACAGGCAATAACACGACCTGAGCTTCAAGCCCCGCTATCCCCGTGCTCCTGTGCTCTCTGCCCATCTGCTGGGGGGGGTGACTCGGTGCAGCAGTGAGGGGGTGCCACCTCGCCAGCAGGGCTCCAGCGTCCAATCTCAGCTCCAACCTCCCAGGGACAGCCCGGGCCACATTGCACAGCAAGATTCCAAAAGCACACAGCAAGCTACTGCCAACCCCCCTGACCAGCGTGCTGGTCGTCAGGCCCATTACCTATCACTCACTCAGCTCGTCTCCAGGAGCTCCTCATCCAGCCCCTCCTCAGGGAACCTGCCGGATCCTGTCGCTCCCTGGGGGATCTCATCGCTCACTGGGGATCGAGTCCCTTTGTGGGGGATCTAGCTGCTCTCTGGGGCTCGATCCCATCTCAAGGGGGATCTAGCTCATCCCAGGCGAGATTAAGCCCATCTCTGGAGGCGGGGAGGGTGTTTGTGGGTTTTAGCCCTTTGTGGGGGAGGGTTGGCCCCTCTCTAGGGGTTCTTTTGACCCTCTCTGGGGATGGGAGGAGTTTTGCCCCTCTCCAGGGGGGGAGTTTTGCCCCTCTCTGGGGAGGGGGGGAGGTTTGCCCATCTCTGGGGGTTGGCGGGGGGAGTTCTGCCCCTCTCTGGACCAGGGATGTAATAAGACGTGGGAGCGAGGTTGATGGAAACTCAGACCGCGAGTCCGACATTCAGGACCAGAACCGCGGACTCACCGGGAACATCTTAAACAGCTGCAACTTGTAGACTGTCCAGCCTTTCTTGTATTTATAAACCGGGAGGGGAAGTTTCACATTGCGCGCGTACTGAGAGAAGAACAGCACCAGAAATATGGTCCTGGGAGGGGAAATAAACACACAGAGATGTTCAATGTGCGGTCGGTGAGCCCTGTTCCCTCCCGACAGCCAGCTCCCTCTTGTCTCAGACCCTTCTGGCTCAGCCCTGGCATCCACCATCGGTTTGTGGCACACAGCGCCAGGGCACACAGCCACACAGAGAGGGGTGGTCTTCCACCCACGCCAACCCCCCCACCCTCATTGATAACTTGCAGTAACACCTCCCTCCTCGCCAGGACCACACTGTCTGAGAGTGGCTCAGCGCCCAGCGTTTCAGTTGGGCGTCCAGTCTCAGAGCCACGGACACTCCCGCCCAAGAGGAGACCCTGGCCGCTCAGGTTTGGCAGGACGCTGCCTCTGGAGGGAGAGAGACGGGGGGGGAGTGGTATTGCCACTCTAAAGGGGGCGTCCAGCGATTGGGGGGCGCATAATGGCAGAGTAGCTGCAGTCCTGTAACTCAGGGCATGCAGTTCTACATCGACAGAAACACCGAAACAGGGAAAACTGCCCCTTTCCACTCTTCCCCCCCCACCACCCAACCCCTAACACTCAGGGTCACCAGCTCCCAGAGGTGAGGAGAGCAGACATGGTCGCCGGGGAGGGGGGGCTAACCATGTGGGTCAGGTAGGGTTCCTTCACCCTGACGGTTCGCTCAGAGGGACCGCATCCTGCCCCATCAACCCCGTTCCCACTCTGCCCAATGCCAAGCCAAAACAGAGCCGACACGCCACACCCCTCCCACCCCAACCCTGCGCGGTCATGCACCTCCTCCCCTCGATACCCCAGCACCAAACTGAAGGTGTTCGACACTCACAGCATGGCGATGCCCCAGTGCTTCCCAGCTCGCTCACCAGCTGCCTGGTAACCTGAGAGACCGATCAGAGCCACCGTCGGCGTGATGGTCAGGGGGCCGATGTAGCTCAGCAGAATGCCAGGCAGGCCCAGGAACCCGATCAGCACCTCCACCAGGGAGGACATGATGATCGCACCTTGGATCTGTGGGAGGGAGACAAGCAAAGGGGGCAGGTCACTGCACTGCACTGCACTGGACTGGACGGACAGAGCGGCCTCGGACGCACCGCGTGACTCCACGGCCTGCAAACAGAGCCGGAGGAGAGCCCAGACTACCGCAGCCAGACGTGAGGGGAGAAGATTTGGGGGGGGTTCCTTCACTCCCGACGCTCCCGGCCACCACTCACTCCGGAAGAACTGCCAGCACGATCAGGATGGGCTGAGCGGCTGCCAATCAGCCAGGGGGAAGCCCTGGCCACCGCCAACCACACCCCTCCCCACCCCGCCCCCCCCAGTCCAGCTCATGGAACTCCACTCGAGGTATCGGGAAGGGGGAGTGGACACTGCTTTCTGATCTCACTCCATTCCCCACAATCCCAGCCCTGTGCGGGATTTGTCCATGGGACAGGCGGAGGAAATGGAAACGGGACAAAACGATTAGCTGCCCCACGTCTCGCCATCAAATCGCCACATATCGAACCCACTCGCACCCCCCCTCCCAGCTCCGTGCTCCCGTCCTGCAGAGCGAAGAGCTAAACGTCACCAGCGCTGCATCCAACGCACACAGTAAGGCACCAGAGCTCACAACCAACGGGAGTGGGATGGTGGGGATGGTGGGAGGGGTGGGGATGATGGGGGGGGTGGTGCGTGGGGCAGTGGTGGTGGGGGTGGGGGGTGGTGGGGGGGTTTGGGGGGCGTGGGTCGTGGGCCACGTGTCTGGGAGACTGCACAGTCCCCAAGGTAGGGAGGGGGTCAGACCCTGCCGAGTTGAGCTGATGGGATGACCACGCCTTTCTCCTGCTCGAGCAGCCTCCGCCTGGGACTCCAGTCCCCATGGAGATTCTTCATCCCCGGCACAAACAGGTCCCAGCTCGGAGCGGTGTTTCTGTAACCGGGCACCGTCGTCCCAGAGACAGGGAGACAGGGCGGCACCGGGACGGAAAGGGGGCGCTGGGGGGCTGCCATTTAGCTGAATGGTAGAGCCTGGCGCTGCTCCCACCTCCCCTCTCAGCAAAGACTCCGGTCCGAGAGATACGTGACTCCCATCCCTCTCGGCAAAGACCCCAGTCTGAGAGATGTGTGACTCCCGTCCCTCTCAGCAAAGACCCCGGTCTGACAGACACGTGACTCCCGTCCCTCTCAGCAAAGACCCCAGTCTGAGAGATACGTGACTCCCGTCCCTCTCAGCAAAGACCCCGGTTGGAGAGACCACATCACCAAAGTGGGGAAGTTGAAAGAGTTCTGACCAGAATTACGATCAAGTCTCATGGAGCTTTACCTCTCGAATCCTCGGGTGCCAAATATGTGATGTGTCCATCATTTCTGAGCTATTGGTAAAGGTTATATCTAAAAGAGAAGGAGATGGGTAAAACAGACTTTCGAATAACTACCGTCACATGCCCTTGGCCCAATCGATAAGGGTGTGAGTAGGTATTACACACACACACTCACACTCACAGACACCCCACACCCAGACACATACACCCCAGACACTCTCTCTCACTCACACACACCCCACACACTCTCTCTCACTCACACACACACTCAAACACTCCACACACCCAGACACATGCACCCCACACCCACATACATTCCCCCACTCTCTCTCTCACTCACACACACCCCACACCCAGACACATGCACCCCACACTCACACATTCCCCCACTCTCTCTCCCACTCACACACTCACACAGACACATCCCACACCCAGACACATACACCCCACACACTCTCTCTCACTCACACA